CACGTATCAAACTGTTATTTATTAAAATGTAGGAGTTCCTACTTACAATAGAAGAATGCAAGTATTTTGCCTTTTCATTTCCATGCGGGAAAAGGTTGCAACTCTTCTAACGTAGCCAGTGGTCCAGGTTAATTCTCAGGCCAATCTTCAATATGGAAAGCCAGCATATTGGTCTTGGCTGTTATGGCCCAAATCAAAGGTAGATGTCCGTACCTAGAATTTTCAAGTCTATATGTTCATGGCACATGCAAGAGTCGTTGCAAAGTTATATATATATATATATCCTGACAATTGCAATTTCACCTACTTTATATGTCCGAAGTTCCCAACCCAACAAAAGAATTTTCTGGAGTTTATGGCACATTTTTAAATGCTAATTGGTAAGTGTGCCAATACCATAAGATATGGGTTAAAGTTGTTGGATAAATATGGATAGATCATGCACATGAAATGTGGCTCATGTATTCGTGATTGTGGGTCATCCCATGCACTGATTGGAATGTCCCACCATGCATCCATCTACCAAGTTTAACGAGTTCAAACCGCGCCAGCGGGTTCAAATGGTGAAAAATGGTAAGGTGATATAAAGTCACCACTAGAAAACGGGGGCAAAAGCCACAATTCGTCTAATCATAATGAGCTAACAATGTCTTATCTGTGGCCAACACGCTTTGGCCAACGAAGGGGACCTATTGCTCACCTTATAGTAGAGGCCACGGTTTTATAAAGCGACATATATTGATGAAAGACAACGTGATAGAAATTGCGATATGCGAGAGTGAGAGTCGAACTCTTTTCATATTAATCTAATAATTGTATTAATTTTTTATCTTAGTCTAAATTACAAATGTTAACTGATGTGCACATTGTTGATTTTTCAGATCACATACATTATACTTTATACATATTACAAACTCAGAGCCACTAGGCTCCAAGTGGTTATGAATTTATCATGGCATGTGGTCTCAAATGAACAACATCATGTTCTTGTTCTCCGTGTGGAAGTCCAAATATTATTACTGTGTGGACGTCGTGTATTTTTTAGTATTTTCTTCATACTTTCCTCCTTATTTATAATGACATTCGCAAGATAATAACCTACGAACGGATAAGAGAATATATATATATATATATATATTGTGTTAAAACATATACTTAATTATATATGAAAGCGACCGCTAAATAAAACAAAAGACAACAGCTCTGGCTGGATAGGGATACAATTTCCAAGCGTTATCTCTAGAACATTTGTTTTTTCTTTTTTCAAATGTTTGAATGGTGTGCATATAAATTATGTTTTGAATCTTCTGGATTTAGTTAGGTACACCAAGTAACTCTCTCTTCCCCAAACCCATTATCGGATTATAGATGTGGGAAAATCGAAAGTCTCATTCTAGAAAAGTACAAAGGCAATTTCGGGGCTAATTAATCAACCTTCTGATCACCTATATATCCCACATCTAATCATCTATAAATCCACAAATTATTTGGTTTAAAAAAAAAAAAATTTGTTTTTAGTGAGAAAAAAATAATAAGTAAAATTATCCATCCAACGAAATCAACACATTGCATATACAATCAAGAGATCCATGCGTGAAAAATTGAGCTAAATTTTGTTTTTGTTTTCGTTTGTACGCAGCCTTCTTCATCAATATACTATTGGTGCGGTGTTCAACTTCAATCCGAGGATGAAGATTTGGACCTTTCATCCGAGACTTCGTCCTTAGTTTTGTCTATACCTTTCTACATATCCAGCCAGTATATATCAAATTAAGAGGCCATTTCTGTTCAATAATTGAGTTTGATAAAGTATTTATCTATGTACCAAGGCCTTAAGTTCGGTTTCCTCCCCCATTCTAATATCGCTTGTATTCTTCTAAAATTACTATTAACAATTTGATATATTTCAATTTTTATACTTTTTTTTTTTTTTTTAAAGAACCTCGATGGTACAAAGGAAACTTATTGATCACCAAATGGAATATAGGGGACATAAAATCTTGAGAGTTTCACTAAAACACCCAAAATGGGGGCTGAAATTATAAAAAAAATCCAACACCCAAAACACTTTATAAATACACTCAAAACCCATCATTACACACATTCAAAACTCATTTATAAACACACCCAAAAAATATACAATTGTTGATTTTGGGTGTGTTTCTATGTTTAAATAGTGTTTGGGTTTTTTTATAAATACATATCTAGGATTGAGTTTATTTATAAATTTGTATAAAATCTTACCCCTATTACATGCATAAAATAAAAGTAGATATTAGTTTTAGTGTACTAATGGTAATGCAAATATTATATTAGACTGAATATTACTAACTCGTACTATTCTCGCATAAAAAGAAAACTCGTATATTAATAAATAAATTGTTGTATTAGCTAGGTTGTTAATGTGTCAAACTTGTAATGATAACATAGAGACAATACATTAAACTTATAGTGTGTTCATTAATAAGGAATTGGAATTTTTATCAGGAATTGAATTCCACATATGGAGGATTCTTGCGCTTACTTCATATCAAGGAATTAAAAAGTAAGTGGGCTCACACAAAATTAGGAATTGAATTCCTGATTTTGAAGGAATTCAATTCTTGGGGGTGGGAGATGGTATTTTAATCTATTAGGAATTCATTTTTTTTTACCCATTATATCCTCACGCAATTTTCAAATTTTCAAATATGTCATCTATTTTAATCAAACAACGAGGACATTTTAGTAATTAGTACTCTCATACCCAAATTCCATATGATTTAATAAACAATTTCAAAAGGAATCCGGAAACTAACTCTCCTCAATCCATACAGTTTAGTAAACAATTTTATTAAGAATCTGTAATCTAATTTTCCTGAATCAAACTCCTGCTCAATTTAATTCATCATCAATTCAATTCCTCCTAATCTAATTACGGATTAGTAAACATGCCATAACTAGTTATTTAATCGTAACATTAGCGAACTAGTTGTCATAAACCAAAAGAATATAACCCAACAAAATATAAAACAAAATTTTTTGAAAATCAAATTTATTGTAATATTAAAAAAAAAAAATTGAAGTTATTACCAAATCGTGAAGTACCGATACCAAAAAATGCCGAAATTTTTTGTTGTTTTGTTAAGTCGCATTACCGATTCAAACCGACCAAATGACAACCCTAGCTAATATTTACTCTTAATATCATAAATCTGAAAATTAATAATAAACTTAAAATTGCTAATCTAAGTAAGCCCCGTATCTTTTTAGAACCAAGCACTAGTTGGTCTTAATGAATAATTTTAATATTTCAAAGGGATGGATACGCAGCCCATCATTAGCAACATTAATACTGTCTTCAATATAACCATTGGTTGATAAGTGTGAGATTGCTATCGTTATATGTTATACTTTACACTGTCTTCAATATAACTATTGGTTGTCCTCAACATAGACGAATTAGAACAAAAATAAAGTTTAGTTGTCCTTTTCCTCCTCTGGAGTCTTTTTCCTCCTTAGAATGTAATTGCTATAGTGAGCTAAAAAGAAGAAGAGAACAAAGGTATATGAAAACCCTATCTAATATCTATCTCTTTTCAGCAAACAAAACTCTCTATCAATCTCTCTCACACCCTATGGATAAAGGTTAAATGGAGGGAAATTGGCAAGAATTGTAAAGTGTTTTTTATCATCTAACCTTATGCTTACTCATGAGCAAGATTTATTTTAAAAAAATTCCTATTTAAGTTTTTCTTTTTGTCATAAAAATTCGTATTTCCGTTGAGTGCTTATGTGTAGTGAACTAAAAAAAAAAAGAAAAAAAAAAAGGATTTATATCGAAAAGTTTTGGAGAGCTAAATTGGAGAGCTTTTTCTACTAAGATTTCCTCAGAGATATATAAGATATTGCTGGTTGTTTTCTCCTTGAGGAGGAGGAGGAGGAGGAGGGTACAAAAGGTTCAATTAGAAGCAAAAGATCTAAAAATATCCTGGAAAAATCTTGTATGTCCGCACAAAAAGTATACAACAAAAACAAGAGAAGTATGCGACCAAATATAAATAGTGAAATGCTAATTAATGAAAATGACCATTTGAATCGACATTGAAGATAAAATAAAAGATTCCATTTCTTGAAACAAACGAATTCGATTGGTGTGCTTGCTTGCCAAGCATATGTGTATTTCGTTTTCATGTTGTGATGGCACGAGCGTTACTTTTTTCTTGCTTTAATATTGTAGATAATTGTAAACAAAAAAATAAAAAATAAAAATTTTTGTTTATCACTTTTAACTCAAGGTAAACAATCATCATCTTTCTTAACGCATATCTATGAGTATAATTATGTTCCACAAATATGCGTGTCAAGTCTTGAGAAAAATAATAAAAGCACACTTTGAGTTAAAAGTGCGTTAGTATTTACGAAAATAGATGTGATATGAATTGAATATTGTATATTTAAATGGGATTTGATTATTTGAACGTCCTTAACGGCATCAAACTGTTAATTAATTATTGTGGTGTCAAATCAGTTCATGAAGCTAAATATTGAGCTGCCTAGTAGTCAAATTTTGTTTTTAATTAATTAATTATTTTAATTTCGTTTAGCTTACAATCGAATTAAGAACCGCACTGTTTACTATACGAAATAAGAATGGTCAAATAAAAGAAAAAAAAAAACTAATTTTTTTTGACAAATAAATGTGAAAAAAAAGTTTATAAAATTGTTCCTAGTATTTGCAATTAATATAATTATTTGCCTCCTCAGACCGTAAAAACCGTACTGTGTACTATACGCAAGAGTCTCTCTCACCTCATAGACATCGTTTAGAAAAGTGGGTCCCATTTATGATTCAGTGCCACGATGGACCAGGCAGGACAGCTCAATCTCGAGTTCAGATCCAAGCGCGCGCACCGTACGAACCAAAAATATCAGAGAGAGAACACAGCGAAAACGGTGGCACAACCGTGATATCTCCCAAACCCAGGCCCATTATGGTAATTTAATCCGACTTCCGCTTCGGTGCAAGGTCTCCCTCACCTCTGGCTCCACTATTTAAACCCATTGGATCGGTCTGATCAGCCTCCTCATTATTCTCTCTCTGTAATTTCTTCCAAAGCTTGCGTTCGAATCTCTCTCTCTTTCTCTCTCTCTTTCTCTCTCGGTTCGAGCTCATCAGGTATTGCATTGGTCGATTTTCATGTGTCGATTTTTCTACTGAATCTGAATTCATCGAATTTTGGTTTTTGTTTTTGTGAAATTTGGATGATTTGATTAGGTAGTGTTGCTTGGATGATTAAAGTTTGATTCTTGTGATATAATATGCACATTGGATCTCTGAATTGATATTGCCAAGAACTTACTGTTTCCAATGCTTTCATTGCAAGGAGATTACTTCAATTTCATTTTTGCTTGATAAGCTTTGTGTTTGTGTGTACGTGTACGTGTACCTGTGTGCGTATGCGCATACATGTACGTGTGTGTTTGTGTGTATGTTTCATATACATATTGAAAGTTCCAATGTGAAATGATTAAGAAGTGAACGTTTGGAGTTTTCTTACTTGTTTTCCTGTCATTGTCATTCCATGCAATCGAATCCGCTTTTTCAATGTCATCGTGGTCTGGAATCTAATGGTTTCGTGATTGTTGTTGTTTTTAATGTGAATGGTACGCGGAACACAAAGTAGTATGTGGTCGGTACGAATGCGGTGTTGTTGGGTTTTTATCAGTATTTATGTTTTTAGACTTTATTCGAAGAACATCCGTGGGACTTTCGTATTGTATTTTTATCATTGTTGTTTGCTTTGATCGGTAATTTCAGCTTTCTTTCTTAGCTCTTTTAAAATGTAAGCTAATGCCTAGTTATAATTGTATTATGTAATACACACACTTTGGATCAATAGAAAATACGTTTTACTATCAGATTTCCCAACAATATTTGGTTTCATAAGTAACTTATTTGTTCTTGACCAAAAAAAAAAAAAAGGAAAGTTATTTGTTTGGTGGTTGTACTGTCTTAAAGTTTACAACTTTAATTGCATACTAGTCAGCGTTTTACTTTTTGTCTGTTGGAATGATACATTGCAATGAATTCTTCAAGGGATGTTATGCTATAAACAAGTTCATTTGAGACTTTAGGAAGCTATAAGTTCAGTTCAGAGTACTTAAGGATTGCAAGAAAAATAATCCAATCTGCCCAGGTATCTTTTACCAGCTAGCTCTACGGTCTACGTGAACTTGACCAATCTTGGGTTAATCAATTTAACTGTTGCTTCCAAGGTTGGGTTTGAATGCTGATTTGCTCTAAGGACCTGATAGAAGTTCATATTTTACTAAGTTAGCTATATGGTTTTGATGTTTTATACTATCATGAACTTTGTTTGATTCAGTCTTTCATAACCTTATCAACATTTTCCTTCCCTGTTTCCACGTAGGTCTATGATCATGGGTTCAAATTCAGTTGTGGATATGATAGAGGCCTCCTCAGGGGTTCATTTTTCTGGATTTCATATGGATGGCTTAGAGCAAAGACAGAAGGTGGAGCAACCGACAACCTCAGCACATGAAAACATGCATAAGCAGCCTTTTGTTATTGGTAAGTAGTGGTTTATAGATTTGCTACATGCATCGTTTCTAAGAAGGTTAGATAGCTGCGTTTTGATTCTTCCACTTCCATATGATCCATCATTCCATACATATTGTCACAGGGGTTGCTGGCGGGGCAGCTTCTGGTAAGACGACAGTTTGTGATATGATTATACAGCAGCTTCATGATCAGCGGGTTGTTCTTGTTAACCAGGTAATGTGTAGAATTTGTGATCAAGAAGAGTAGTAGTTACCTATTTTTTTCCTTGATTTTGGGATTATTTGGTTTTCCTGTTTTCGAGTGTCAGAATGTCACCACTTTTCCAAATTAATATCTTATCATGGATGATATTACAGGATTCTTTTTATCATAATCTGACTGAGGAGGAACTTAAACGAGTACATGAATACAACTTTGACCATCCTGGTGAGGGCATTCCTG